CGAGTTGGCCGCAGGCTGCTCGGGGTTATCAGCAGGCTGACTTGGCTGGTCAGCACCTTCAGCTGACTTTTCAGCACCTTTGGTAACCTCGCCACCTTCAGTCCCCTCTTCCTCCACTGCCACGAATTCAGAACTAAACTTGGGAGGCAAAACGGTTTGACCTCTGCTATCCCTCTCCCACTTCAGCGTTATCTCCGGGCGGAAGTCAGCAGTACTGCTCTCTTCGTCCTCCTCCACCTCCCTTTCCTGCTCTCCGAAGGTAATCTTCGTTACATCCACACCAGGATATTGCAGCTTTACCTTCTTCCGGCAGTTAGAGAAAGCCACGATGGTAGTAGGAAGACGGTATAGGTTGACGATGTCCTCGAAGGTGCTGGACCTCAGGAACCCCTCCACATGCTCTTCGACTGAGTTGTGAACCTTGAGTTCCAACTCAGCTACTGTCCTCCCCGCATCCTCCAGCTCCTTCTCCCTCTTCTCGAGCTTAGCCTCGCATATCTTCCTCTTCTGGTACGGGATCTCCGAGTCCTTTTTGAAGGTAGTGTTTTCTTTCCGGAGTTCCTTCATCTCCGCTTTCAACCTCGCCACCTCGACCTCGACCTCCTCGTTCTTCTTGACAAGCTCGGCGTTATCCTTCCTCATTTGGTTCCTCTCTTTCAAACTCTCGTGATGCTCGTTGGGCAAAGCATTCACGAGATTAACAGCCTGCACAATGGAACCACCCTAACTCGTCAAACACTTAACAAAATTAGAATCCTTACACTCCAAGCGAGATGAAAGGACCATACCTCCAGCGTTTGACGGACAATGCCAATTGAACCCCTGGCAGCCACCTCGTCCTTCGCACGTTGGCGGTCCACCTCCGGGAAATAAGTGTTGATGAACCTCTTTGTTGTACTCCTCATCCCGAAGTCATAAAAGCTAGTCGTCTGCGCTCGGATATACCCTTGCTCCCGGAGCGCAGCAGCAAACTCAACAGCCGAGGCTGACGAGGTCCCTTCCAGGCAGAGGGTTGAAGTCACAGCCTCTGGTGCCTCATCTACCTCCTCCACGGCCTCTTGTCGCTCCAGCCTCCTCCTCTTCGCCACAATGGGCCCCTCCTCAGCAACCGTCACTCCCCCTCCAACGTGGCCAGGCTGTGTGATAGCCAAGTTTTCCACTTCGGCTTGAGGCAGTGAAACCTCTTCCACCCATCTCCTGACCTCGCCTCTCTTCCCTCTCCCCTTCTTTGGAATTCCAGCTCCACCAGCTACGTCCAAAAACTTGTTCATCTCTTCTGCAAAACAAAACAAGGTTAAACTCTGATCAGAATTCTTGAATTAAATCAACAATTAAGGTCACACACCTCCTCTTTTTGAGCCCGGCCCATATATCTCAGCCGCGTCTAACAGCCTCTGGCTCGTATACTCCATGATGTCCAGCAAACCCACACCCCCTCTTTCCAACTCCCCCACATCCTCTAACTCCCCCGGGGTCAGACTATACTCGTTGAGGTTTAACCCTTTCGCCTTCCAGCGACTCAAGTGTTCCACCTCAGCATCAGTCTTATCCCACTCCGTGTCATCCGCAAAAAAGAACTTTTCTTTCCACCATTTAATGGAGGACGGCCCAGCGCTAAACAGACCCCTCCTCTGCTTATTCACTACCCGGCCCGTAAAATAGTACCACCCTTTCTCCCTACCACTCCCAGCATTCAAGACGTAAAAGTACTTGAATACGTTAGCAGTGGGAAAACTTACCCCCCGACTTCGGCTATACACTGCAAACGCCACCACTAACCTCATAGCATTGGGGGTGAGTTGCGTTAACCCCAGACCATACTCCAACAACAACCACACCAACAGGTTTGGGAGAGGGAACTGCAACCCAACCGCCAAGTAATGGGAGTAGAGAGGCATCCAGTGGTCCCTCGGGGCCGAACATGCCCTCTCTCTACTCCCCGCCGGCCTCACCAACACACGCCTAGGCACCCCATAGTTCTCAACCAAGTGGGCCAAACTACCCCTATTTTCCAAAGTTGTTTCATACCCTGCCACCTCACTAACAACTTCCCCCTCAGGGTTGAAACACGACTCTCTTCCATCCTCTCTCTCCAAAATGTTCGACGGCACCCTCAAATCCCTATTCTCTGCCTCCTCAACCCTCCCCCTCACTCGCCGTCACTAAGCGTCTCTTCAGAAGACATTCTCACAGCAAAGAAAGGTAGAAAAAAGACACTCAGATGCTCGCAAATTACCTGGTCTTTGCGAAAATGGACGAATAATGTTGAGTGCAGGTACACCGGTGACTTTTTCAGAAGCTAACAGCAAATTGGGTTGGATTTTTCTAACTCTGAATATATATATATGACGGTAGAACACATCTTGACGGTCACGATTAACTCCCTTAAACCGTCACAACCATGCCCTTTCAAATTCGCCGTTTCAATTAACGTCGCGTCCCTTCGAATGTGACGGTTATTTTTCGCAGACGATATTTATTACTGCACGTTCTTCCATGACAGCTGTCGTCTGCTGCATTAACCAGCTTTAGTATTCCATAAATAGGCCCATTTTAGGCCCATTGTAAACCCCTTAACATATACTTTAACACGAAAACTGTCAAGTCCCAATTTCATCTCGGCTACGGCCACAGTGACTATGTGTCACCAACTTCATCTCGGCTACGGCCACAATGACTACGTGTCACCAATTTCATCTCGGCTACGGCCACAGTGACTACGTGTCACCAATTTCATCTCGGCTACGACCACAGTGACTACGTGTCACCAATTTCATCTCGGCTACGGCCACAATGACTCAGTCTCACCAATTTCACCTTGGCTACGGCCATAATGACTCAGTCTCACCAATTTCACCTCGGCTATGGCCTCCATACCGCCAACGCTACCCTACTTACTCAACCTCACACTCTTTATCATCCATAGACTTCCCATCTTCCCCTTATCATTCACAAGTGAATGACTTTGGGGGGGGGGGGGAATAGTGTAAGGGCAGCTATATTAGAAAACACGCAAGACAAAGATTGGAGATCACCACACCGCGGCTGCGGGACTCAGAGTTTACCGCACCTCGGCATCTCGCCGAAAGTGTATGGCAACCACAATAGGCATGCCCTCATCTGATCATTTGTCCCTACCAGAACACCCTTTCTCAAAGGACCTGCTTCGTCAGAATACACCACGCGTATTTAATGCAGTTACTCCGTTAAGGCACGTTGCATTCACCTAAAACGTCTACTCTGTCAGGCGCACTATGTCACCATTATTGGATTGACTGAGCCACGTGGGTGCGGACAAGCCACGTGGGTGCCTTGCCAAGATGGACAAAGCCCACAAGGTAAGGTTCAATAAAGGGGCGGAACAAAAAGAAAAACATTATTAGAAAAATACTGACTTAAGCATCGGAGTTTCTCCCCGAGGACCAACCTCGGGATCTTGCAGGACCATTTGGAGAAGGATCAACTCGAAGCGGGAACTCAAGGATATTCAGCAACTACAGTTGTTGTACGTATCATTCCTTCGGAAAAAATCGAGGTGGTGGAATAATAGTCTCATTCCATTATTATGGTACTATGATTTGGTGGTGGGAACGTCAAGAAAGGATTGTTAATTTTCAAGTTTCCTTTGTCATGAAAAAGCCAAAAACTATTTAAGCTGAAGGAGAAAAAAGGAAAGCAAGATGTTTAGTCGAATTTTAGGACGTTAAAAATACTTTTATGATACAATTAAATTTAAAACTAAACTCTCTTTAAAGAAATTGTGAAAAGAATGAATTTTCTTATATATGAT